GAAAACAGTGCATAGTAACTTCAACTTGATTAGAAACTTTTTATGAAAAAGAGATTATCTTTTTTATCGAAAATTTGAAATTTCAAGATTCAATGATCTCTCACGGAACTGGTGACATGTTGGCAAAACCTAGCTTGTCAATGGGAACCTGAAAAAGTATATAGCAACTTGGCTGTTCTTTCACATTTTGAGTAGAAACCTACTGTATTGATAACGTTAGAGATCCTGTCTGCAACTGTAGCAATCAGAGATGGAAAGTCTCGAAAAGGTCAGCACTAAATTAACCTTAACGTCCCAGACTTGAATAAAGATATTTTATAAACAGTGTTTGAGCAAAAAATCTATATTCACCATGCTGAAACCGAAATCCATTGAAGAGCGCGAAAGGGCAGAAACAGGCTTATCCAGAACAGAGTAGACGAGTTAAACGTTTCCACTAAAGTAAGGAACAGAATCGGCGTGGAACACTGTGTTGATAAACGCGTCGGCATGTGCACTTCACCACGACCGTATTTGTGCGAGGCTCTCATTAGAGTGTAAATCACAGCCTTCCCAAACGTATTTCTCTTGCTAGTATTATTGCCGCATGCATGAATATTTTCGCCGCGGAATGGGGCACAGCAGGAAAAAACCTTCATCATCTGAAATTATAAACGTCTGAATTTTACGCTGTCTATCCCTCGAATGAATCTCCCACAATTTACACAAACATATCATTGGTGATGTGTTGTATAAGCAGACTTTCCCTGCTTAATCTATGATCTCCCAATTATGCCCTGCGCCAACTGTTCCTTTAAAAGTCATTCTTCTTTCTTTAAAGTCAATGAAACAACCAGAGTCGTACTGACTGTCTTAGTTAACAGTGGTAAGCATGTTTCTTACAGTAACAATTAAGCTATGCGAATATCGAGATTGTGAGAAACATCACGTTGCTAATCGTGATTCATCAAGTTTTCATCATTTCAATCATTTGTTCTTATAAAATGCATGCTTAGCACTGTTGAGTTAGGGAAGTGACAGCGCAAGATATTGCCCAAAAATTCGCGTACTCATAACAGGGCCCGGCATAGATCGTTTGGCAGCAGGCTGGACTTCGTTTTCGGAGCAAAAAGCAAGATATCGTTTTTGACGAGTCGGGGCCCAGCACCAAGAATAAACGCCATTTAGTCGAAAACGAGTTTTTCGAACAGGTTATCAAACGATTGACATGCTCTATCGTGTATGGCGAAAAGTGCGCGCGATTCAAAAGCAAGGCTAAAATAAACAAATTGCCTTTTACAGCGCACACAGAATCATATGACACCAAAACTGAACTGAATATATAGAAAATTATTTGCAAAAGAATAATGTAAAAAGGGAGATCTCGGCTAGGAAAGCGTTGAAAGCTTTCTGGATATCTGCAAAGAATCCAGAAATGAATAACAAAAACGAGTGCCTGTTAATCACTGCTGATTTCCTTCCTTTCATATCGCTATGCCAGCTATAGATCACATTACAGTGTATCTATAGGATGACTCATTCGTTCGCCGCGACCACTCACTTCCGGTGCGGACTTCCACGCATAGCGGTGGTCTTCCGGTACGTCATCTTCGCTCTGCACAATTTTTGCTAACGAAACTGAGAGAAAGCCGAAAACTAGCTCGTTTGGAGGCGATGTTTGGTGGTGTTGAGTTACGGGTGACACTTTGGCCATTTCCAGGCCTCTGAGGAAGACGAAGGCGTCGAAACGTTGGGCCGTGTGATTGGAATAAAGACCACCTACCAAACCTGTATGGCACGGAAGTAGCTACAATCTATGTAAAAAGGTTTGAAAACTGTGTGAAGTATTACGTTTTCCAAAATTAGATCGTCTTCAGACGGCCACCAGACCATCTGAGATCGTCTGGAGCATATATTTCTGTCATTTCACATAAGTTTTGGATTTTTCTACCATGGACGGATTCCCTGGTCAAAAAATCTATCCCTGAGCATGAAGACATTTTCATATCATTGCCTTTCCTTTGTTTTTTGCCTTCATTTCTTCATATATCCCTTTGTGAAATATCGCGCTTCAATGCCAAACTCTTGTGCATGCGTAGTATTCAGCTCCAATTTGGATTTTCACTCTTATCTTACGTTTTCTTTCATACTAGTAAGTCTTTCTTGTTTTCATCTTCTCCTAAGCAAGTAGGTCAAAGGGGACTTCGTAAAACTTCCGAAAGTCAGGGGAGACCTCGTTTTCAGAAACCCTAGAAACCGACTCGTGCCGGGCCCTGACTCATAATTCGGTTCAAACTGAAGCTGGAGGGTTCGTTTTTTGCAAGCATGCTACGACTTAACTATTATATTTACCATCGACAATTTTCTGAGCGTCATCGCTTCACTGTATGTCTCCGATCCTGAAACGCTATAAATTCCTCGAATTTGTACAGCTCAACTTCTAGGAAAGCTGCAGTGCTGAAATTTTATAGACATTATCACTGTTAGGTAAAAACACTACACAAAATGTTTCAGCCTGCTTGGCAGAGTGAGGCCCGTTCTGAATATCGGGCAAATCTCGCATTTGGAGCCAAGATGGCGAGGATCCAGAGGTCCCATTGGATCGTCGGCAAAATTTATCCCATCCATGTCCTTTTCGTTTTCCTCCAAACTGAGTTAAACGGCGCCATTCCGCACAAAAGCTTAAACGGCGTTTTGGTACGTATTGGTCCAAGATAATAGTGCAACATTGAGAAATTTCGATCAATTTCAGAGGAGGAAAAAATGACTCAAAAAGAGAAGCTTAGTTGCCGGGGATCACCAAGGAAATTATTTAAAAGCAGGAGAAGGCGGTTTGTACAATATGTCATCTGTTCATATTTTCACTGTGAAGGGTGGTATTAACAATTGGGGATGGATACTATCAAGAGCTTCAGAACATGGAGTTCTATCAAGCTGCGCTTTCCTCCCCGGGGAGAAGCGCAGCTTGATATTCATGCATCCGGCCCTGAGGGGTCGCATTTGCGTAGCCGAGGGTGTTCGCTTTTGAATGGGCCGAGATTTTTGGACCTGTAGACTTGTCCGGACATCGCCTTCAAATGCAAGCGAGCCTGCTTAAAATAGGCATAGACGTTGCAAGGTGGGTCCATTACTTTGTCTAAATCATGACCGATCGCAAAATCTTGACTCAGCGTCTCGAGTTGCATCTTACAATGTGATTTACATAACAAAGGCCAGCCGGTGCTTCCCTTGTAAGCAAGGCCTTTAAGTACTATTTGATAGTGCAAGCTAGTAAATAAAAACTCTAACAACACACTTGCAAATCTTTACAAATAAACTCGCTGCATTCGTACTAGTAAAAAAGAAGACTAATGATTGACTTCTCCATTATCCTGGGTTTCTCCTGTATATGTAACATTTGACTCAACTGGGTTGGCATTCGGGAAGGCGGAGCTTCGTGACCTAATTAAGGCTAGGTAATGATCAGAGAGCACTCGCGTAAGAGAGACGCAGGTGCGTCGCGGGCGCGAGCGGCCTCAATTAGGCCACAAAGCCCCGCCCTGATGATGCCAAGCCAGTTGAATCAAAGGTTACGTTGTCATATTTCACTGGAAAAAGAGGGAAGAGGGATAACTAAAGCTGTGGTGTCAGTGTTGGGCCATACGACTCGGCGTACGCAGCGTATGCTCAAATGCACCACATATGCCTGTTGATGATTTCTGTATCATCAACCAATGAACTCTATATTCTATAACGCCTGCGGAATTCCGCAGGCTAAATTGTGAATCACTCACTCTTGAGTATCTAATCACTCAAGAGTGAGTGGTACCCGTGCTCCAGGAGTGTAGCCAATCGGCGACATCTCCTTTCAAGCACCAACTCGCGTACATTGTACCCTGTGCTTGGTTCAGCTCCGCCTTCCTTTGCATTATAAGGAGCCTCCGAATGTATTAGGGGTTGCTCCCGGTCTACACCGGGACACCTTACATCTCTTCTCGAATAATCTACGCCCGTGCGAATAATTCTATATTCCACAACTCGTCTACCCCCTAATCACTTGGTACCCACCAAAACGCCTACGCCCGCGTCTGACCCAACCCGGTCTGTGGACCAGTGTGAGATCAGCGGATCAATCCTGACCATAAGTGATTGAAGCATAGACTTGGTAGTCGGCTAGCCCTGCAAGTCATTGATGAGGATTGCCGTATTCAAGTGCCTATCAAAGGTGAAGAAAACGTGCCTGATGCATGCTCGCAGATGGTAATGAACCACCGTCCTTTATATATTCATCTGTTTTTCTATTAGATTGATCAGAAAGTGACAGAGCACTTGGAGAATAACCGTGGTTTTCTCGAGAAAAAACTGATCAGCTACGTCAATCTCGGTGGTTGTTGGAACGTGCTACCCTCGTTTGATGAAAACACATGCAAAGCATCTACAAGTGTGATAGTCTCTATAGTTGCTAAATATGCGGACTTAATTAAAACTAAAGCTATTGCGAATTTTGAGCAGTATCTTGCGTAGTAGAATGTTGCTGGCTGGATTAGAAGAAAAACTTTGAAATGTACAAAATGGAGCTGCTCCATTACTTCTAGACACCTTGATTAACCTTGTACAGCACTGATTTTATACCTTTCAGGTGTCTCGCTTTCCACAAAATATTAACTCTACTCAAAACCAAGAAAAAGCACGATGATCTCCAGTCCAGTAAAGCAAAAGATAATCAGCTCTAATAGTTATGCCAAGCAGAACTTTTGACATGAGCAAAGTGCTTCTTAAAGTGCTTCTTACAATTAGAGGGCTTTCGGTATAGTCTAAAAGGGCTACAGAACCAATTTTTTGAATCAACGGACAAAGGTTTCTGTAAAGGGGCTTTCAATGTCATTTATCTATTGGTTTCAGCTTGTCATATAGCCTGAGCACCTCGATTGCGTTACCTTGAGCAGAATTGTGTATTAGACTTTAAATGATTAGATGTTCTAATTTGGCTAACTGAGCTGAAAACTTTAAATACATTGCTTACACAATAGAAGCATAATCAATAATTTATATGAGAAGAAATAAAAGCTGTATGTCATGATAATTATGGGTATTGTAATCTCACACTTGTTTTCCTGCGAATTCAAGACAATAAGAAAGGCTCAACGCTCGAGAAAACAGAATCAAAACATCATACAGATCAGTTCGTTTTCTTCATGGCTGAAATATGAAGAATTCCACTATCATCAAGGTTGCTCTTCAACGTGCTTGGATCGGCACCATCAGGAAGTCTGTAGCACCTTTAAATGCAAGGTTTTATGCACAAAATATGGAGCAAGCTCAGAAGAGGCAATATCATCTTTTTTATGAACTAGTCGCATTTTTATCCAAAAGGATATTTATTTACTAGCTTTCATTTTTTGATGTAACCATGCTCAGGGTAAGATCAAAACAAGCGTGTGGCTGCACCGTCCATGTTGAGTGGCTCATAGAAACTCTACCGAACATTACATATATGTCGCACAAATTCTTGGTCACAGTTAATAGATTTCAAAAGTATGTTGGTATGTGCCCAACTCTTTGCCGTGACTGTTGATTAGGTAGACATCACATGCGTCGTTCTAGAAGATACTGTGCCCTCAATAGTCCAAATAAATTATCTATAAATGAAGCAACTTCAAAATGACTTCTCCCCTAAGTCCGATCTTGTCAACACATTCTCCTTTTGAGAATTTAAATTTTTGATTGAGTAAGAACATCCCTAAACTGACCTCATAATATTTCTACTAACATTAGTTACATCGCCTTTCTGTGCTTCATGCTCCATTTTGACTTGAATAAGGTCTTCACCGATCATTTTCACCTGAAGCAAGAATTATGAAAAGGATGAAAAGCTTAATGAATTACAGAACTGTACCTGAATTTCTTTTGGTGAAAACAACCTTGCATCCAAACCAACTTCGAAATGTGTTGAGTCCTCCACAACCTTCACAAATTCGTCATTCTTCTGAAGAGGCCAATCCCAAACTTTGTCACGTTTGACGACGATATCTGCTGCTGCCATGGTATGAGCTCAAATAATACTCTGCCTAGAGATGTCACTTCGCATCTGGATTGCCACCTATTTATATCAGCGTTTATGCGCTGTACTCTGTGCTTGGACGGACCTTTTGAAAAACAAGCTCATAACAAAAAGTCATAAGTATTCTTACACTGACAGTGAGCATGTAATAAATTTGATGTCAGTATTTAGTCTCTGTTTTTTTCAAACTTCTCGTAAATCATTTCAGTCATAATGAAGTATGAGCTGCTAAACAGGCACACTGGCTTCAGACTGATTAAGCCGACAGACTTACTGCTGCTGATTTAGATTGTTTATTCTGCACTTCGCAAACTGATTGGGTATTTTCGGACATTTTAGTGCCGGACGTAAGCGGCTATTATTGCTTTTCGTAACTGCTTTTGAAAACAGAGCTCTATGGAGCATGTTAGCCTCTCTTGATTGAGCTAATTTGAATGTTTTAATCGTGGCCGCTTCATAGTCGCATTGGAAGGCTAGCTAAATACTATTATAGTTGAGGCTGGGTCCTGAACCAAGCAAGCATAATGGGCCCTGAGTTAAATTTGGTAATATTCACGCCCCCCCCCCCTTGCTTGGCCTCGTACGGAAATAGCTTTAGAACAGAGGTTTTCCATGACAAATTGATGAAAACGACGCGAACTGTTCTCATACATAAAGGGTTGTACGCCCAGATGGGCGATTTTTATTGGCAGATGGTCACCAACTAGCACATATCATATTGTCATGTTCTAGGAGCGATTCGAACTTTGAACAGAATATGTATGATCGTCTCAAAGATTGTTCGATCTTATTATGTTGAAATAAGTTCAGAAAATGAGTGCTGGAATTTAATAACAAGTGAAAATGCAACCAAAAGCGTTTTCGTACATATTATAGTTCAATCAAGTTTTCACCAATGTTCAAACTTAGCAACTTAGCAAGTGGTAGGTTCATTTACTTACTGTTAATAAGCCAGAGCAGTTTGTCTGGTGATTTTGAAAGACTTTCTTAGCTTTAAAATGGGCTGTTTTGGTGACATCTGGAGAAATCGCGCCTCTTGACCGTCTCCCTACATGAAGCCCTTGTCTTAATAAACGGGCATACTACCATATTGCGAGCATAATTCTTATTTTGCAGTTTTCATTCCTAGAGAAGCCTGTTGCATACAACGAATTCCGACCACTGCACTTTTGGTGTAATGTGAGTTACCCGAAATATGACTTTGTAATATCCCATCGAATGTGCCTGAAACAGATTGTCCATCCATCTGTTTGCTTTATGTTTTCTCAGATATTCACGTGAGAGCAATTTTCTGGTGGAAAACAGAGAGACAGCTGCTTTCACAAGAATGAGTCAAGTCCACCTCAAGAATGAGTCCACCCTCACGATGCAAAGAGCGCATGACTTCGTAATGGCGAATTGTCATTTTTCTGCTGAAAATACTTTATATCATGCACATATGGTCTTTGAGCAACACAGTTACTTCGGATCAGCTGTCATTCACACTATCTGGTTGGCTAAATCAAGCCTTTTTTCACATTGTTGTTCGAAAGGGACAAATTCGAATAGCAGCTAGTTTTGAAGATACTCTGTAATTTAAGTACGGTTTCGGACAATCGATCGGACCCCTCCGGCGGACGTCGAAATCTGCCAGAGTCGCGGCGGACCCAGTTGACCAATGAGAGCGGGGCGAGGGGGCGGTCCCTTCTTGTAGGTCACGGTGACGTCACCGGCAGGAGAGTGGGACCCTTCTCCGGATCTGCTGCAAAGGTACGCCATTTCTGCTCCGGAGGTACGCCAGATTTGGCAGAGCCGCGGCGGAGAGATTTGCCCGCCGCGAGTCCGTAAAATTTGGACGAGCCGCGGAGCAGAAAATCGGAGGGGTCCGGAGCACAAATGGGAGGTCTCCGGAGCAGAAAATGGGAGGTATCCGGAGCACAAAATGGGAAGTCTCCGGAGCACAAAATGGGAGGTATCCGGAGCACAAAATGGGAAGTCTCCGGAGCACAAAATGGGAGGTCTCCAGAGCACAAAATGGGAGGTCTCCGGAGCACAAAATGGGAGGTATCCGGAGCACAAAATGGGAAGTCTCCGGAGCACAAAATGGGAGGTCTCCGGAGCACAAAATGGGAGGTCTCCGGAGCACAAAATGGGAGGTCTCCGGAGCACAAAATGGGAGGTATCCGGAGCACAAAAAAGTCTCCGGAGCACAAAATGGGAGGTCTCCGGAGCACAAAATGGGAGGTCTCCGGAGCACAAAATGGGATATCTCCGGAGCACAAAATGGGAGGTCTCCGGAGCACAAAATTGGAGGCCTCCGGAGCACAAAATGGGAGGTATCCGGAGCACAAAATGGGAGGTCTCCGGAGCACAAAATGGGAGGTCTCCGGAGCACAAAATGGGAGGTCTCCGGAGCACAAAATGGGATATCTCCGGAGCACAAAATGGGATATCTCCGGAGCACAAAATGGGAGGTCTCCGGAGCATAAAATGGGAGGTCTCCGGAGCACAAAATTGTAGGCCTCCGGAGCACAAAATGGGAGGTCTCCAGAGCACAAAATGGGAGGTCTCCGGAGCACAAAATGGGAGGTATCCGGAGCACAAAATGGGAAGTCTCCGGAGCACAAAATGGGAGGTCTCCAGAGCACAAAATGGGAGGTCTCCGGAGTACAAAATGGGAGGTCTCCAGAGCACAAAATGGGAGGTCTCCGGAGCACAAAATTGTAGGCCTCCGGAGCACAAAATGGGAGGTCTCCAGAGCACAAAATGGGAGGTCTCCGGAGCACAAAATGGGAGGTCTCCGGAGCACAAAATGGGAGGTATCCGGAGCACAAAATGGGAGGTCTCCGGAGCACAAAATGGGAGGTCTCCGGAGCACAAAATGGGAGGTCTCCGGAGCACAAAATGGGATATCTCCGGAGCACAAAATGGGATATCTCCGGAGCACAAAATGGGAGGTCTCCGGAGCATAAAATGGGAGGTCTCCGGAGCACAAAATTGTAGGCCTCCGGAGCACAAAATGGGAGGTCTCCAGAGCACAAAATGGGAGGTCTCCGAAGCACAAAATGGGAGGTATCCGGAGCACAAAATGGGAAGTCTCCGGAGCACAAAATGGGAGGTCTCCAGAGCACAAAATGGGAGGTCTCCGGAGCACAAAATGGGAGGTCTCCAGAGCACAAAATGGGAGGTCTCCGGAGCACAAAATGGGAGGTCTCCGGAGCACAAAATGGGATATCTCCGGAGCACAAAATGGGAGGTCTCCGGAGCACAAAATTGGAGGTATCCGGAGCACAAAATGGGAAGTCTCCGGAGCACAAAATGGGAGGTCTCCGGAGCACAAAATGGGATATCTCCGGAGCACAAAATGGGAGGTCTCCGGAGCACAAAATTGGAGGCCTCCGGAGCACAAAATGGGAGGTATCCGGAGCACAAAATGGGAGGTCTCCGGAGCACAAAATGGGAGGTCTCCGGAGCACAAAATGGGAGGTCTCCGGAGCACAAAATGGGATATCTCCGGAGCACAAAATGGGATATCTCCGGAGCACAAAATGGGAGGTCTCCGGAGCACAAAATGGGAGGTCTCCGGAGCAGAAAATCGGAGGGGTCCGGAGCACAAATGGGAGGTCTCCGGAGCACAAATGGGAGGCCTCCGGAGCACAAAATGGGAGGTCTCCGGAGCACAAAATGGGAGGTCTCCAGAGCACAAAATGGGAGGTCTCCAGAGCACAAAATGGGAGGTCTCCGGAGCACAAAATGGGAGGACTCCGGAGCACAAAATGGGAGGTCTCCGGCGCACAAAATGGGAGGTCTCCGGAGCACGAGTGGCAGACCCCTCGGTGGGGAAACCCCGCGGCCCTGCCATTTCTGCGCCGGAGGGGTCCGATCCACTGTCTGAGGTTGTCAAACCCTAGAGTACAAGAACAAAGGGTTCTGCGACACTATTGCACTTAAAAATCTTTCTAGATCCGAGTCACGCTCGCAAAGTACAGGGTGCCCCAAAAGAAAGTGCGCACTTTCTAATCGTTGATAACTACTTTCGCATGAAGTCTTTTGTTTAGCTTTAATTACCATTTATTAGAGCAGGCCTTGATTTAGACTTACAGCATGGAACTAGCACACATCGCTCTTTATTACTGTAGAATCACGATAGAAACTTTTAGTACAGCGCCATCATGAAATAGGCCGTTTGCAAAAGCATTTGCAAAAATATTCTGAAAGTTGTGTACCACTGTTTTCAAAAGTACTGATTTCACTACACAACATTTCAAGAGTTTTTCAGGCACTTCAAATTTTTATCACATTATGGAAAAACACTAAAAAAGTTATTGCGGTTTATCTGGCATAACTTGTGAAAAAAAGTTTTACGGTAAGGTGTAAATTCATATCCACAGTCAGCGACTCAGTCTAGCCTAATGATAAAGTTTTTTGCTTGTTGAATATCTACGCAGAGACAAAATGTAGCCGTTATGGCCCAAAACTTTCTTCAGAGTTCCTACCGTAATCCTACAGTAGCGAAAAGCGTGAGACACTCTTTATTGTAGATGATCTAAGTTGAAGGTTTGAAACTAAACAGAAGAGTTTGTGAGAAGGGAGCTATCACCGGTAAAAAGGGTGTACTTACTTTCGGGACACCCTGCATAAATAAAAACATGCACCCTCATGTTCCGTACAATTATCCTTTTTGTTCCTTGATTGCGACAATGATAACATGCAGCGGTGGCAGCCCAAAAAATTTTGGGAAAGAAGCACGACCATAATTTTTTTGATCGAAGGGACGAAACCTCATCAAACCATCTGAGAACTTTTTTGGAGGTTTTCGCTTTTTCGGAAGCTCGGTTTTGCAAATAGGGAAATGGCGGCGAACATGTCTATTATGAATTTCTATGGAATTCTTTTGGTTATTTTTGATTAAAAACATATCGCATGCATGATTTAGTCTGCCACAACTTCAGTCGCATCGCTTTTGCTCCAATGAACAGATTACCGTTTCGGAAGGAGATCACAAACATAAGAACTTTTGAGAGACAAATTGGTTGATCCTCGCCCTACAGAATGATACACAAGCACGACGAAAGACACGGAAGCAAGGGAGTTATTAACGAACAAGCAGTGCTCAGATATTTTTGGGACACTCTGTATATTTCAACAAGTGAACAAAGATTTTCTAATTTTTCGCTTGACAGCTTCAAGAACATTTTTGTGTTGTCACAATGATTTGGCCAGAGTGGTAGCTGAGTAAGTCGCCGCTCCCTTCGTTCTTGTCCCGGGGCAATGTATGAGCGAAAGGGAAAGGATCACTCCAAATGCTTGGAGGGTTTCTTCAAGTTCAGCTGTCACTGAAACTGGCTGCTGACTTTCATGATAATTCATCGAACTCAAGCATTTTCGACGCCTCCAGAGTTAATGCATGATTTACGTCTTTGGTTTTCAAAGAAATTTCAGGTTTAACATCTGTTCTTGTCTCTTTGAATACCTCTCAACACAATTTGTTCGCTAGCGCTTTGGGCGCCAATGTAAACCACAACCCACGACTCAGCTGAGCGGTCGTGTTACCTTTAGGGTTAAACTCTGTTTTATTTCGAGCGCGCCCGACTCAAGGCTCGAGTCAGCGTGTCTGCATCGCGTAGATCCTGCGCGCATTCGCAAATGTGATCTTTGACGGAGATTTGGATTTAGAATTCGCCTACTGTAAAGTAAGATGCGGCGATGCAACGCGAAGTCTGGCAATTCCGGCGGAATGCGGTGATATTTTTCACAAATTACGAACGGCATTGTATTGTTTGATGGGACCAAACAAAATATCGATACTCATCTTTTCTATAGCATAAAAACCCAGTATTTTGGCTGTACACCACACACTACGTTGAACTGCACAGCCATTCTGTGGGTCACACTCTCATACTACAGATGATTACACTACAATTTCTTAAGTCCAGCGTTATCACCTACGAAGTTTGTTGAATAACACTGCACTGATTCCGAAAGATCAGCCGATTCTGCTGCCATTTATGGCATGATATCTTCGTTGTAGACGTCACGTCGAATTTTGCTTTGGCTCTTCATTTGTGACGACTTAGTGATTCCTTTCAACTGTTTTTTCTCTAATTTCATCTTGTTAAAGCGTTAAAGTACATATACCTACAGCAGCTGCGCAAGGCTAACGAGGAAGATAGAGGCTAATTCTAGATCGACAGCAATACAAAACTTCTGAAATGAGTTTGGACTAAGAGAGTCGTCATTTTAACGAAGTTCAAGCCTTGACACACCATGTATGTCGAGCGGTCCCCCGTGGATTGCTTGACACACATAGTGTGTTTTTTCGTGATTTGTCCGTATTTGTGAAGACAGATTTAGCACATGTCAATGAAAGAACTAGCGCTTCGCTCACCGTTCTACCTTTAACCTTGGAAGTACGATATAACAGCATTGATTTATTGCTCAAACGCATTTCCCATGCTTCGAATTGCAAAATCGTAAACATCATCAGGTCTTTTTTCAGGTGTTATAACTGAAGGTCGGATGAAGACACAGAGGAACGCTACTATAAATATATCTTTGCTACTCGTTTGAACTAATTGATACACTTTTCTTTAGTCACACTAACAGTGTTGTAAAGATGCACAAGCTCATGTTGGCATGTGCGTTAAGGTTGTGGTCGTCATGTGAATATAAGTTCTTGCAAAAAATCAACGATAATGCTAGCGTGACTACTGTTTACGGTCGAATATGCAGGAAGGAAGGCGCCCATCTTCTCAGGTAACGTAATCAAAAAAGATAAAAGCTTGCACTGCAAAATCTGCGTAAATAAAGGGGGGATGGATATAACTCACGACGAAAACTGACTGGTGATTGAGAAAGCAAAATACCAGCGAAAGATATTGGCCTGAGCGTTCGTTTTCAACATACATACAATTTAGGACTTCCGCAGAGCACTGAACTATAGCTTCATGTAGTTTTTAATCAACAAATGCCTTTCCTTATCTTTTCGAAAATTTGCAAAGCAAATTTAGCATGCTTGGCGCAATCGTACGTTGTTTACGCCAGTTAATAGTATGAAAATAGTATTCATTCTGAACTCAAAGATTTACGACTAGAATCACTGTACAACGGAAGAAATTGTTATAGATTGGTGCAAAAGTAATGAGCAATAGTAATCAAAAGCAAAAGTAATGAGTAATAGTAATCTTTGTTTCAGAAAACCTTTTCCACCAAACTCCCTTCCTTGACACGTATTTAGCGTATTCTTGAAAGCTCTTTTTATGCCTATCTAATAGTAGTTAAGACAGGCTTCTGGCCTTAATTTACTGAGTTTTACATAACTGCACTCAAAACAAGAAGTTCACTGCATTTATTTTTCTGCCACAATTCATGCGCGAATGATGGCATTCATTTGAAGATTCAGCTGCTGCATGTGGTAAAAATGCCACATTACGCACACTTAACCATACCTTTTGAAATCTCTAAGCCGAGATTTACTTTTCAACACGGGTGATCGTTGCGTTCAATCTGGCCCATGGATTTCTATCAAAGAAGGCATTCGCCAAACTTCGCTCATTTCTGTGAGCGTAAGGTTAAGGCCTCCTTTCGACAGTTTCTTGCAAAAATACTTAGCTATTTAGTGTAATCAAAGAGCTCCATAATATGGGACTTTGAGGCCTATGATAACATGTTAAAAAAGTGACAATTTTGCTTTTTTGATTTTTTTCTATGCTAATCTTTTTCGTCCAAGCTTTTACAGTCAGTATTTGTACTAATGGCTTGCGATTACAAGATAAGCTATATATCATTTATACTAGACTTTCAAGGGAGTTATGATCCGTCAAAAATAAGTTTTCAGAAATAAACTTTTTATATTTTTTAATACCCATTTTTCTGACGTTTATGATATTAGTAGACGTAGGTGTGAGCTGCATTGCGAGAGATTTGCTATTATTGATGGTCTTTATAGCTTTGAGAAAAGTAGACTGTTGGAAAGTTATAGTACATTGAAGTGAGACCTCGCAAAACACTCATCATTTTTGCAGTAACTCAATGCATACATGCCTTAATTTTTAGAGAGCTACATAGCCACACAAAGCTCGCATAATTGTCCCACTAATTGTATCAAATTCTTGGTAGTTAGTAACTCTCGTAAACAGTATTCTGGGAACATCGGGTACCATTTTGTAGGGCTGGCTTCGACTTAGATTTACATTACAAGAAAGGAAACACTCAATCCTTAACAACTCTAGAAAATACTGTCACCATGCCTCTTGCAACATCCATATAAGTTACACCGAAGAACTTAAACAGAATCAGCCATCCAATTTACCTGGTAACGACGTTTCACCTCTCGGACAACTTTTGAGACAGTTTATTTTCTCATTATAGCAACTCCTTCGAAAGTTCTTACCATAATTCTACAGTAATGATGATTCTACAGTTATGAGAGCTTTAGTAAATCCAAGTTGAAAACACTACGGGATGATAGTGGTCAGCGAAGGCTGTTAGGGATTATTACCAAACGTTCGATACATTTTTTGGGACACCTGTATTACTGCAATTATAGGTGTCTATAAATCATGGTGGCGCATGAGATGTACGTGACAGAGTTATATTAGTTGCAGTTGATTGCTTCTTTTGGAAAAGCAGATGTGGCTTGAAGAGAATATCTCGTATAGGTTTGTTGAAAGCTGCGGGGACAACACTGTAACAATCAGATCATATTACTCTCTGATCACGTACGTTTTTCTTACCCATAACTGATGTGAGCAAGCTCCCAATTCAACGAACTTGTTGCAAATATCTGCATTCTCGATGAAGCAAATTTTGCAACGACAAGAAACGATAAGATTGCAAGTAGAAGAACGATACTCTGACAACAGCCCTGCAAGATATTATTATGTTAAAAGCTAGTGCTTTCAAAACTCTTCCTCAATACAGCAGATGCTCTATGGCACTAACTGAGTACCCTACCTGGGCAAAAAACAAAATATTCTTCTTTAACCTCAGCTTTTCGTGGTCTGTTTTAACACCATTATTGTTACGTAGCATCTAAAGATATGAGTGAAAAACGACTGAAACTTGATAGATATGCATGTTATAAGCTGGTCGATTTCCAAACACCAATTACTGCGTTTCATGAAATTACTTTCTATCCACTTTAAACATTATTGAGGCATAATCATGTCGTCACGATATTTCAATAGCACTGCAGAACTTGTAAGCCTTAGAGAGTTTTAATAACACTTACTTTTGTCTTCTTCCATATGCAGCAGAATGTTATCGTGTCAACGAAAAATATCACACCGCACATACATGTGGCGTGACCCGAAATCATATAAATGACCAGAACATATCCACATGTGGTCGGACGAAAGAGCCACATGAAACTGGTGCTGTCAAACCACAGAGCGCAGTCATCTGCAAACATCCACAACCATCTATAAAATCTATATTTATTACATATCTAGCTTACACGAGCTGAAAGCCAAAGCATGGAGTGCCGATATGATCCAAAAAAATCCAATGAAGTAGGTCAAGGCCCTTCCCGTGAAAAATTCACTGAATTGCATTTACATTTTAAAAACGTATTCTCATTTAAGCGTGTAGATGTACTCACTTGTATCTTATGGGAAAAGCTATAGCAACAAAGCGGTTTATAGCAATTTGGAGCTGGCTGTAGATGGAACCATACCAGAACACCAAGTAAATTTGTGCTACTCTTGAACCAATGAAAGTATTTGTGATCGAAGCATTAAGCTGCCTTAAGTAAAACGAGAATGCCTATCCATGCATACTGCAAATCCTTACAAAAGTGTTGCCGGGGCGCTCCAAAATACGTATATTAAGAGCTCGCCGCTGTTTGATACCAAATGTAGAGTGGATATGAACCCGAAAGCATTGTGAAATACTGGTGTTCGTACGAGGGCCATAATCACGATCGTGTTGATGATTAACCCTATGACGGCAAGCTGGAAACACAAAACCTAACTGATCCAAATTATGAAGGATGCTTACTCCCATAGAGAGAGCACCAGCAATGATGTGTTCGCCTTCAATATCCATGGTGGTGTTGCCACTCATGCTAGCCCTGCAAAATGAATTTGAGGACAGTTTCTTAAGAAAGCAAGCTTGAATTTAGGAAAACGGTGGAGATAGGCTGGGAAAAATATGATAGTTTCGATTATTTGGCTGCGGGTAGACAATGACAGTGGACTGAAATTCAAAATTTACATATCAGAATTTGTAAACGATAAAGAATGAATTTGAGAAGCTGCTGACTGTAATTGTTTTTGATTGTTGTTTCCGAATAATAATAGGTAAAGTTTGCTATATCGTAAACAGAGGAAATGAAAAAGTCACAACAATTCTATGTTGTGTCTGTTTAGTTCTAGCACAAGGAAGAGAAATTCCCTCGCACATTAAAATGTTTGTATTAGATAATGTTAAGGTCACGCACATTCAAAATTATTTGAAGCTGCAAAAACTCAGTCGGTTCGGTAATGGTCTGAAAATAACCAGATCCGAGACAAGTATTAAGACACATAAGTTCTACAATATGGTTGGAGTATTTATCTGAAGGTAGAGTTTCAATTTGTTGCTATAAAATTCTATGCACTATAGAATATTTGCTTTTTTTTAGCATCATTTGAATCTCCCAAATCTGAGAGAGAATACATTGGAGCAATTATGTACCAATTTGATAGTGAAGCAGGTGAGCAAGTTTTGAAGTCAAATGTACGTGTGCTCAACATGTTTTACGATGCCCCTATTGCCATTTGCCCAAAACCGGAGTCTAGTTTGGCATCAAAATATCTGTGTTGGGCAACGACTAGCGCATCAAACTCTACCATCTGAGACCATTGATGAACAGAATACTTACAGTTTCTCGTCTACGATCTCATCGTTTGCAACGTAACAAGACTGGAATAGCTCAAAGTATAATGTGAGAAGCACCGACGTGTTACCCGAACAGGGTGCTTTGCATCTACTCACTGATGTGCAATGGGAGCCGATATGCAAAAATGTGGAGAGAAACCGTTACATGAGCAGGCACGGTTGATGGGCTTCAATCATGCCGAGAATAAAGTATAAAAGTACGAAAGTTGCTTAAAATAACTTTAAGCTGGAGTTGAGTTAAATTTTTTTGATCGCGCATATTGCTAGAAATGCAGAAGATTGCGCTATAAAGTATACAGCATTTCCTGCATCTATTGAGTTTGCACTGAAATTTCCGACTTAGCTTGTTCAAAAGTTTTCAAAAAAGAAAAGAAAAGAGATTTCGGCAGTGAATTTGATTTAGCACAAATTCTCTTTGTTCTAAGCTATCTATGTGAAGAGATTCACGGCAGTGAGTATCTATACATATTGCGATTTGATGATATATATTATAATGTTATAAAAGTTCTCGGACACTGTGCTTTGATAGACTTGTTTCGTTGTGTGTATTAAGTGAGTACCTAGAGCTCCAGTTTATAGCAGACACACATTCACATATTGATTGACACAGGCTGCGTGGAATTTGAGCTCGTATAACAAAAAGGTATTTAAAAGTGGCAAACTTCGCTCTCATTGAACCTAGACTCCTCCAACTTGCTTGAAAAAAGCTACATGTGAGAAAGACTTAACGGCTTTCGGAGATAAGACACATAACATGTAGGTATCTGACTTTCGCTTTTTCATTCAGAATATTGTCGTTTTTTATGCTTAGTTTGCATTCAGCGACAAATGGAACTCTTCTTGACATTCCCTGCACCTTTTCCTTTCACCTCTTTCCACTCTCTTCTTTGCGGGGTTATCTCGGAAGGACGAGGAATTGCACCCACCTAGAAAATCATTTGGAACTAACTGATCAGGTTTCATATACGGTGTTGCAGAGATTTCGACATCGATCGGAACGCGAAGTTCTATGTGAAAACCACCACGTAAGGCTCCCGCCAGAGTGCCGAAGTTATGCCAGCGCTACGCCAGCATTTCGATCGATACACGTGTATTTCGTTGGGGCGGGGCTAGCTGACGTCCCCAACGAAATACACGTGTATCGATCGAAATGCTGGCGTAGCGCTGGCATAACTTCGGCACTCTGGCGGGAGCCTAAAGGCCTTCGTCTAAAAGTCTCTCTGCATTTGATCAAAAGCGAGAAAGCCTAACAAATGGAAGAATGGAACGGCAATTACCTTTGCTTATTACTACCATGTTCCATGTATATGATGATTTTGCAATGAATATGCCACTCATAACTGTGTATGCTTCATTGAAATCAAGGAAGTACGAGGAAATGTAGAGTGTAGATGAGGGTATCGTGAGAAAGGCGCTCAGCTGATTTTTCATATACAGTATTGCAGAGGGTTTTTGACATCAAAGTCGCATGAAAACCGCACTGTAGAAGCCACAGCTCTCTAAATTTTATTAAAGGCGAAAAAGCTTAAAAATGGAAGAAGTGGAACGACAATTGAGTGATCTTCGCACGTTACTACCGTGTGCCATTTACATGATGATGTAATGAATGTGTCACTTATGACTGTGTATGCTTTATTGAACTCAAGGAATTACGAGAAAATGTAGGTATATAGATGATGATATTGTGAGATGGAGCGTCCCAGCTGCTTCTGGACATAAGGGCCGGTACTAATCTTCCACACACAATGGCATCATTGCCGGCAAGTTGGCACACATCGGGGAAAGTTGCCAACTCCGGCGGTACCTCGCAGACGTGTTATATAACTCCATATTATAGTCTGCAGACGCTACCTAGACTAGGATTTTGACGGCGCAGTCATCCGCAAAAAATCGACGCCTGGCGTTTCTGAACGTGCATCCGTCGACGAGCGCAAGGGCGCTAACCAATAAACCATCCGTCACTTTTGGCGTTCGCAAAACGATAGTGGAAACTAAGGCCCGTCCTGCGTTGGTTCGGAGGATTTTTGAAAACGAAGTCCTTGGTGACTTCGTAAGTTTTTACGAGGTTACCTCGACGTAAATTTAAGATAAAAGAACAACATGTTCATTTACTCAACCAGCATAGCAATACAAAAGGAGAAAAATTCCTTGAAAACAAAAAAAACGAGATTTTCATGTCGTCATTCCAATGGATGCTATGACAGGCACGTGAATGGAGCATATACCAGCATTACCATATCCATCAATCGTTTATTTAGACTATTTTGGCTTTGAAAAAGAGGAAAACCAATGGTTTGATTTGCTGTATCAAGTACATGATAGATTTTGAACATGTCAGTCGTCCATATCAAAAAACAAAAAAATTTAAGATTTATATGAACTCTCCGATACTTATTCTCCGAACCAATCCATTGGTTTTGTATTATTATTATATTATATTATTTATTTTGTTTTGTTTTGTATTTCCTAGAACCAACAAATTTGGGAGCGGGTATTTGTATATGAAGTGGTTTGGAGCATTGTTCTATACGCATATCCTAACTCGGTGTTATGTTTGCATTGTAAACATGCCATTTGTTTATTTGAACATCGTTTCAAATTTGGTGCGCTGTGAGAAAGAACACGTTTGAGCGTGTAATTTGAGTAGAGTAGTGGTATTCAACATATTTTACGTATCCATTTCACTTTTCACTTGAAAACGAAATCCAGATTGATCCTAAACCATCTGTGCTGGGCCCTGGAAGAACGCACAAACAGGTAGCGTCTGTAAAAAGCCAATTCGATGCATTGCAGATAGACTATGACCTGAAAGAACGGTTAATTATGAACAAGGGATGGGCGAATTGGTTGCAAAAGAAATTTAGGAGGAACTGCGAAAAGAATATGGTGTTTTTGGTTTTATAATTTTACTAAGCTTTTCTTCTATATAGATATCATCAATTAAACGAGAAAATCCAATATAATGACAAAAATATAGCTTACTAGCTGGCTTACCCGGCTCCGCCGTATCCGGACCAAACTTGGCACACATACACTTCGGGCCCCGGCGGGTGTCACAGTCCACTTTTCGTTATCGATCGATGTCGATTTTACCGATTTTTATCGATTTTTTTGCAGAATTCACCTACAGGGCTAGGAGTTGGCACAGGGGGGGAAGTGAGCATGGGGATTCCGAATACAATATTAGTTTTCAGAATTATCGATTGCTTTTATTGATTTTATCGATTTTTTGGCAGAGTTCACCTACAGGGCTAGGAGTTGGCACAGGGGGGAAGTGAGCATGGGGATTCCGAATACAATATTAGTTTTCAGGATCGTCCATTACTTTTATCGATTTTATCGATTTTTTTGCAAAGTTTGACCTGCGGGGCTGGGAGTTTGCACAGAGGGTAATCGAGCATGCAGATTACGAATACAATATTAGTTTTCAAGATCGTCCATTACTTTTATCGATTTTATCGATTTTTTGAAAATTTGAGCTAGGGGGCTGGAATTTGGCACAGGGGTGTTCGAGCATGCTGATCACCCCCCTTGGGGATGATCAGCATGCTCGATTACCCCCCTGTGCCAACTCCCAGCCCCCTAGCTCAAACTTTGCAAAAAAATCGATAAAATCAGTAAAAGTAATCGATAATCCTGAAAACCAATATTGTATTCGGAATCCCCATGCTCGATTACCCCCCTGTGCGAACTCCCAGCCTCGTAGCTCAAACTTTGCAAAAAAATCGATAAAATCGATAAAAGTAATCGATAATCCTAAAAACCAATATTGTATTCGGAATCCCCATGCTCGATTACCCCCCTGTGCCAACTCCCAGCCCCGTAGCTCAAACTTTGCAAAAAATCGATAAAATCGATAAAAGTAATCGATAATCCTGAAAACCAATATTGTATTCGGAATCCCCATGCTCGATTACCCCCCTGTGCCAACTCCCAGCCCCGTAGGTGAACTCAGCAAAAAAATCGATAAAAATCGATAAAATCGATATCGATCGATGACGAAAAGTAGCCTATGACACCCGCCGGGGCCCGTAGTGTATGTGTGCCAAGTTTGGTCCGGATCGGTTCAGAAATGGAATTTTCTATTCGGAACATACGTACACACAGACAGACAGACATACAGACAGACAGACAGACAGACAGACAGACAGACAAACAGACATTCAGCTTTATATATAAGATCA